GGAGGGCGCCTTGTGCCGCCTCAGCGCAGCCGCCGCTCGCCTCAGGTGTTGGGGTCGTGAGTTCATGTTCTCCTTGCAGGTGAAGTGATAATGTCAGGCTCTCCTGCAGCACCCGTGTCACCTGCTGTAAGTCCCCGCCGATGTACGTGTGTGTTTTTCCCCCGCCCGGGTGTCCTTATCCACCTGCCCGTGGTGGGCAGAGGGGGCGCGGGCAGCGCTCTGGCGGGCATCCCGCTGCGGCCGCGCCAGCCGCGAAATCCGTGAGCAGAGGTTGTGCCTGGCGGTTGTTCAGCTGCGGCGGTGCGTGGTGGTTGTGCCCAGCCAGGAGCCACCATAATGCTCGAGGCGGAGCGTGCAGTTCGTATGATAAATGGTTATTTATACAGCTGGGAACGTGAAGGACACTGAACTCTGCAAACCTTTGATTTTCCTGCTGTCTGAAGAGGGTTTTGTAGAGGGCGCAATAAAGTTTCCATCTTGCGAAGATGTGGAGGCCTGTGCATCTGTAAAAGTTGTAGCAATTTCGCGTTATTTAAAACCCTTTTTATTTTGCCTGAACTTAGGCCTAAATAAAGACTAGGAATATTGCCTAAATAATATGTGTGAAACAGCTATGTGCTCAAACATATGTATAGGTTAGGAAAACACCTGTGCTTTAGGTTGTACTGAGCTGAATACCATCCTGTGGAGTTTTGTTCAGTAGAATGGAATGACGAAAAAACCCAAAGGGACAAATGCAAATGGCTGAGGGCTAAGGGGAGAAGTATTAGTAGTGGCAGTGTAATCTTATCTGTTATGTAAAATAGTCTTAAGGCTTATCTGAAATAATAAGATACTCTTTAAGCAGGAATCTCCATAAATAAAATTTGCTTAAGTGACTGAATATACCACAGTTGTTGCTGCCTTGGTCCAATGGTATTTTTGTTCACTTTTAGATTAAATAATACTTACTTTGTAGTTCTTGTCTTCATATGCTTGCCTTTGGCCTCTGGTTTCTTTTACACTGTTGGCTAAATTAAAGAACGCTTTGTTAACTGTGTTTGTTTCATAAATTGTTACATAGAATGTTATGAGATGGGTTTGACTATCTTGAGTCTTGCATGCTAAAGTATGTTTCCAGCCCTTCAGTCTTTCTAGTGTCTCCTTTCTGGGTTCTTCCTGTTCTTTCAACATCTGTCACAAATCCTGGGTCACCAGAACAGAGTGTTGTGTTCTAGCAGTTCTAGGGCTAGATACTTACTGTGATTACTCTACGATGCATGTTTAGGCATCCAAAGATAGCCTTATTTCTTTCCAGTACAGTATAGCATGAGGAGTTCTTGTTCACCACTGAGTAATTTCCAGCTTACTTATGTCCCCAAAACATCTGTCCTATAAACATTGCTGACTCTTCTGTTCTTACTGGCATGATCTCACACATGGTCAAATATGAGAGGATATAATTTAACGTAACTGCTTTCAGGATGGTAATATAATTTAGTGTGACATAGACGTATATGGGAAGTCTATAGCACATTAAATTTTACGTATGCATATGCACACACACATACGCGTGCGCACACTTTCCTGTTCTTTAGCAAGAAGTGTAATAGTCTGCATAGTCATATTCCAAGCATCTTTCAAAAATTTTTTTTTGTTTGCCCTGTAGATTGGGGAACATGGCTGCTAAGAAACTAAGAAGAGCAAGGTTGTCTCAGGAGCTGTGTGAAAGGCTGAGTCGCCATCAGATCACTACCTGTCAGGTGAAAGGGTTATTTTGTGTTTGTGGGGGGTGTTTTTTGGGAGTTGGTTTTTGGGTTTATTTTTGGGGTGGTGGTGGTGGTGTGTTTTAATGCATGTACTGTGGTTTTTTTTTTTTGTTTGTAGTTTAATTTACAGGCAGCTTTACTTTCTATAAAGTAGGAGGCATTTCAGGCTCCATCTGGCCTGCTGCCTTATAAAAATATAGCTTTAAAATGATAGATGCCTAGCTAAAACATTTAAACTTGTATGTACTTACTACCTTCACTCCTAAAGAACCTGAAGATGCTTTATTTTAGCAGGGGTGTGCAGCTACTACTTGTATGGAGTAAGACATCCATTTGTGAACACTTCACAAAAACACATGTATACTACATAATCTAGCGTGTGAACGTGCTGTGATGTTACACTACCGGTTATGGGTTGATTCAGCAGTACGTTCTGGAGTTGTTCTTATGAATACTCGCCTAAAGAGATCCAAGGGGCCCTATATGTTTCAATAGTATGCATCATAAATAAATACAGGATCTACCTCTGGGACTGCAATCTAGAAGACATGATGTATTTTGAATGTTTCTCAGGTAGATAGAGACTTGTGTGGGCAAAAAGGTGTTATCTTGTTGCAGTTCCATCACACAGTTCTTGAATTTTTGGTCCTTTGACTCCATGTCCTTTAAAATATGAATACAATTTCTTTTAATATACTGGTATCGGAGAAAGGTAGGAGAGGTATAGCATGATAATGTATAACATGGCACAGTTGGTAAAGCTGTGGAATGTATACTAGCTGTGTATAAATTGCATCAGTTTAGTCCCCAGTCCTGATTTCTAGGTTGAGCTCTCTGAACTGTTCTATCACCTTTCAGGACTTTCTGTGTCTTTCCCTCTTGGAGCTAATGAAAGTGACGGGACAGAGCTACTATGATGTGCAGAAGCTTCTTTGTAAAGTCAGCCGAGCTTGTGCTCCCAAAATGCAGACAGTAAGTATGCTTGTGTTGATTCTGTTCTTGATACACTATCTGGGAAAAAGCTAAACTGTCACTTGTCTTTTTACCTGGGAAGTCTGTGATGTCTCAGTTTGATTGCACAATGAAATAATACTTTTATTTTTAAATTTAGATCTCTGAGGCACTTTAGTTTGATGCAGTGACTTTAATTAGGTGTTATAGCCTCAAGAGATTGTTCAGGCTTGCGGAACTGTTTGAGTACGATAGGGAAATGCGGCATTCTCTCTTGCAGTCCAGCATATAAAAATTGCTTCTAGCTTGGACCCTGTAACTAAAAAAAAAAAAAAAAAAAAAAAAAATTGTTTAATACAAGCAAAGAATAAGAATTTCAGTGTAAATTGGTTTTAGACATAAAATTGGTGCCAAGAAGTGAAGTGATCCTGCAAATAACTTCTTGAGGATTTTTTCCATCCATGTAAATGAACTGTAGTGTGGTTTAGGCCACAGGCAGCCTAACTGGGGAGAGTGCAAGAAGGAAACAGATGTTAGCTGCAATGCAGTGGCTGGATTTTGTTTTCTTTTTTGAATTCAGGTGAAAAGATGTCAAAAATGGTGTCTAGAACAGAGGGGATGTGGACAGTTCTGACCTGTGTCAATGCAGCCTGCTTTTTTTCCTGAAAAAAATAAACCATGTCAAAGTTTATTATGTGTAATTGGCATAGCAATTGTAGCAGTAACTCTGTGAAGCTTTAAATTCACAGACATACTGCTTTAAAGTTAGTGATATGCAGGATTAATATGACTTATACTGTATGGATTAAAAGCTAGCTAATTACTAGTTTTCCATCAGTAACTGTTAATAATCAATAAATTGAAGACAGATGGAAGTTTTAAGTAGAGTTCTGGCATTTGCTTTTTCCTGTCATCCACGCATCACTATTCAGTCAAATTTCTTTGCCGAGAAGCTTGGCAGATAGTGAAGTTTGTCAGACAGCAGTTGTCAAGGACTGTTAATACAGAGCCAGCTGATAGGTGATCAGCTATGTAAGTGCACACAATACAGAGCTGTACTTCCAGAAACGGAGGATGTTAGCTGTTTTTAAGGGATGTGGATTGAATCTTTGCAAACACGGGATTTCAAATGGACTTCAGGTCAGAATGACTGATGTAACATCATGATTGATGTAGCAAGGTCTGACAATATCTTTGAGTAAAAAAATAAATAAATTAGATAGTAGGAGTTATAAATAAGGGGAAAATACTGTCCAGATATAACATTGGAAGAACTAGCAGCAAAACTTGAGAGTATGCCAAAATACGCAGCAAAACTCTGATTTCTGGAGAACTTGTCTCGCAGTGTGAAGTACAGAGTGAAGCCTACTGAGCTCATCAGAAAGGAAGTTAAGGGGTGACTTGATCACATTATATGCTGAGTAGAAAAAGATAATTATATTAGAGGTCTCTAGAGTCTAGCTGAACAAAAAGCTGAAGAAGATCCAGTGGCTGGAAGATAAATTAAAAAATAAGTCCCTGAAATGGGAAGTAATAAGAAAATCTTTAGAAACTAACATAAGTTACTGTTGGAAAAGGTTGTCTAAGGATGTAGTAATTTTTCATTCGCTTGGACTCCTGATTTAACAATTAATTTTTTTTTTTTTTAACTGAAAGACAGTCTGGTTCAACCCTAATTTTGTCGGTTAAATGCAGAAATCGCTGGGTAAAATTTTAGAGTCCATGTTAGGCAGGAAAGCTAGACTAGAATATTGTTTCCATGGTCTACAGGGTTTAAGTCTTGCCAGAGGTTAACCAAAAAATTATTAAATTAAAATATGTTGCAAATCCTTCTTCATCAGTATATGTATTCGCTCTTAAAGTGAATCTGAGCATAAACTCCTATCCCATTTGAGTGAGGTAAAATTAATTGGTTTTTGTATTGGCCTGTTCTTTGTCTTGAAAGCTATTTTTTGCATATTTCTCCTCAATAGAACTGAAGAACAGAGAAGGTCTGAATGAATTTCAAATACTCCCTGTCATAACATAGGGAAGAACTATAGCATAAAAAAGGAAGGTACAAGCTATCTTATCTTGGCCTGTTGGTAGAACTAGCTGGAAATTTTTTCTGATCAACTTCAGCAAAAAATGCTCACTTGTTGGCCCAGCAAGTATGGACTAAAACATCTAGGATTCAATGGTGTTGTTATTTATTTAGTTATCGATGATTCCTGTGGAGGTGCTTCCATAGCACACCATGTTCCCAGCAGACTATCTTAATACTGGGATAAATCTGATGACTGCGTTTCTCTCAGGCACAGAGAAATCAGGTTTTCTGGAGCAGTCAGTCGTGGCAGGTTATGGCGATACACTGTGACAGAACTTTGAGAATCTCTGTTGTTGGGCCAGGAGTCTGAAACCTGTGGGAACTCTTAACTATAACTAGAGCAACAACCTTTAGATCTTGGACTGTTCCTTTTAAAAAAATCAAACTTCTGATGTTCAGGATGCTCAGTGGTTGAGGAATGTGTCGGTTTTAGCAGATGCCCGCAAGGTGCGAGCAAGACCTGTTTCTTTTGGAAACATCATGTTTTGGTGTTTTCAGATGAGCATTTCCATGTTTTTATTTCTTCTTTGTCTGGTTTAAATTGATTCCCCAAATGAAAATAATTCTTCTGAACTAGAATTCTGATCTTGGGCCAGCTCCTCTAGTCAGTGGAGGAGCTAGGAATTCAACTATTTTCAGTTCTGTACCTGTCCTGTCTTCTTGACTAGTCTTCCTCACAAAAGTGGAAAATTATGATGGCTACAGGATCAGCCCAGGCTTGTTCAAAGACCTGGGAATTTTTAGGAAACCTTTTCTTCAACCCAGATAGTTTCAAATTGGTAACAAATGTTGGCTAGGGAGTTCTTGGATTTAGGTTTCTCGTGAGTGTTTTGCATTGGTCACTAACCATACATACGGTGTTTACTTATTTAAAGTAAGTTGGAGTTTTACAGGTTGAAAGCAAGCCTTGTTGAATAGGAGCAGAGAAAACCTTTGAAACATCATTATTAAAGGCTTATTATTTAATATTGTGGTGAGGAAGATAGAACAAACTTCTAAATTTAGTCTGTGAGCTACAAAGGTGAGGAAGGGTGACGAGCTAAGAGAGGGCTATAGCTGAAAGTAGGAATAGTTTGCTCATTGGCAAGTGTTAAGTCATTCCAGGCTGATGAAAGCAAATGCAAAAAGATTGCTATTTCCATTTAAAAAAAGAAAAAAAAAAAAAAAGCACATTTTCTGATTCTAGTATTTGTTTTCTTTTGCTTTTTTCCCCTCCTTCTGTAGGCTTATGAAATGAAACTGAGGAAGTCTGTCAATCCCTCTTCAGCCTTTTTATCTACCACTCTGCATAGTTTGGATGAAGTCTTGCATGGTGGAGTGCCCTGTGGATCCCTCACAGAGGTAACTTGTTTAATATATTTTACTGCAGTTGCACATCACACCTAGAAGTCAAAAGTCACAGATAGGTTGGACTGTCTTGTGTCAGGTGCTTTAAACACAAAATACACAAAAATTATGGATGAGGAGTGGTTTTTTTTTTTTAATTGGTAGAGGCTGCACTTTTTTTTTTTGGTGGTGTTTGTTTTTTTTTTTTCCCCAGTATGTCAGGTAAGTAAGAAAATGAAGGAATTAAAAAATTTGGCGACCTGATTTTCCTTTAAAAATGTGAAAATTTTTCCAGGAAATTTGGGAGAATTGTTGGCTGGATTTTACAGTAGGAAAGCTGCAGTGTGGTTTCGTGGTCAGAACACAAGGTGCTGAATCAGGAGTCTGTCCTTTTAATACTGACTTCCTCTGACTTTACCAAGTCATTAGTTTTTATGAAGGTACAATAAGCAATTTGAACAAAACTGTGAAGCATATAGACATGAGAATGACTTTACAGAGCTTTTATATATAAATGTAACGAATTTAAGCAATAAATATGTAATGCATTCTTTTTAAAAAAGACTGTAATTAAGGCCTGTATTATATGCGCATGCATTGTAACACTGCATTGTGTATGTATCTACCTGTAACTCTGTCACTCCCTGGGCTTTGGATGCAATGCTACTTTCTTGCCTAGAATTTTCTTTTAAGAACAAGGGAGCACTTAATCTTCTCGTACCTGGATTTCTCTATGGCCTTGCAGAAAGTGGTAATAATTCCCATAGTTTCTATAATCTGGAAAGACAGGATTTGTGTAGATGCTCGTAGGAGTCACTGAGTATTATAAAAATACAGAGATGCAATCTCTGGCGTAGGAATTTGCTGAGCTACAATGGAGATGGAGAAACATACATATTGGAGAGAGTATCAATATATGTGTTCCCTGTCATCTCTTGTAGGCCCTCGGTAGAGACAGAATCCAGAGCTAGAGGGGCTTGGGTTTTATGCATTGTGGCCGTACGTGCCTTCTTAAAATTCTGATTTCAGCTGTGCGCTTGAAATGAGTGGAAAAATAGATATGGTGTGCCTCATGCTCTGAATTTAGACAGGTTGAAACCATTTTTTTTTTCTTGAACACTTTAACAATCCTTACCAAGTGCTTTTCTTTGTCTGGAGGAGGAGAAGTGAGAAGTTATGAAAATCTTACTGTGAGGAAAATACATTTTTTCCACACCCTATAATCAAACCAGATTGGTTTTGATCTCAGATAGAAATCACTTATGAAATCCGATAGTGACTTAAAACGTATTAGTGTTTAAGCAACACCGAGTTGAGACTATAACGGTTTCTGCTCCAGTAAACTCCTACACAATGAGGGGATATTACTTTTTAACAATTCTGAGCATTTCTTTTCATATACGATGTACAGGAATATACACCGTTCAGGTCTTCATAAAAATGTTTAAGAACACATCCATGAACTTACATTGATCTGTCAGAATTAATATTTTCTTCATATTTAGTCCTAGCTTTGTTACCAATTTACTATAAGAAAATCGGATCGGAATAACTTAAGATTAAGATGAATACTGCAAGTCTTTAAATTCTAGGAGAAAAGGCTTGCTAAATCCTGTTTCATTGAAGAAGAAGGAGCTGTTCTTATAAGTAGCAGTGGCACGTGCAGGATCCTGAGATTGTAACTATGCTGCTGTTGAGAATAGTGGCTTTAACCGGAGCAC